CAAAAATGCCTTCTTTTTAGCCAAAATAAAAAGGGAAAATCAGTCTAATTATGTAGCCATCTTTCAGTTGTTAAGATTTTTGCCAACCATGAGAGCTAAAAATAGAAATTATTTTTGGCTAGTTAACGAACTGATTAACAAATTTAAAAAGTAACTTCATGCAAAAACATTTTAACCAGCCTGTTCATCACTCAATTTAGCTAAAGTACTGGTTTAAAAAGTATTATCTTCAGATCGGTATTTAAAGGAAGTACTTGAAATAAATTAAAAATAAACAGTTTTTTGTAAGAGCTGCTTGCTAACTGTAAAATCCTTAACCGAGCAATTGGTCACTGGTTATATTGCGGAAAAAAATTTTCTATTACATGTGAAAAATTGAAAAGTTGAGAAGAAAAAGTAGCAATATAATAAAAATGAGAAAAGAACTTACTCCTAAAATTACTAGTGAAATAATGCTTAATAAAGCCATAGAAAACAGTAAGATAAGAAGGCTCTTCTCCCGCAGCCCAGTAACATTAAGCTTTGAGTCTTCTTTTGGTAACGGAGACTCTGGAAATAAACCGGAGTAGTTGTCATCTTCAGTAGTGCGTAAATATGCGGGGCCTGCGGTAGGCGGCATAAAGTTGGTTTTGGTGCACTACAGACAACAACAACAACACATCGGAAGCCCAAATGATCTTAGCTGATATGTTGTGTGCCGAACAGTTGCGCGTGCAGCTTGCTTTGCCATTGTCTGGTCCAATAGCCAAAAAATTTTTTTATTTTCATCTTTATTTTCCAGTGAGGTGCATTCTAAACTTCTGTTATTCAACGGCCCTAATGGTTAGATAAGAGCTGTTTAAATGGCCACCACTAACTGTGTCTCGCAACAGATCAACGTTGATTCAAAAAAGAAAAGTATTTAAATTTTTTTCGTCTTAGATGGTAATTATTTAGTCAGGAAAAGATTAGGAAGATTAACTTTGGACAGAAATAGTATGTGTTAAAATAACAATTTACCATTAATGTTGTAAACCAAAGCAAGATTTTTGTCAAAATTAATGTACAAAAATCTAAAATGACTAACATTCATTAATAATTCCTTCAGAACAATTTACATCAATACTTTTTAATTAATGTAGCATTTCTTTATGTGCTTTATTTCCTTAACTGATAGGAATCAAAGGGTACGAAAAAAGTAAATTTTTAAAAATAAGTTGTCGTGCACAGAACCTAGCGATTTCCTATTAAAAAGTAAACTGAGCTAGCAAACATTAGAAATATAATCATCCGATCAATGAATGTTGCATGTTAACTAATGTTAATTAAAATTTACTGGAAATATAACAAACCCGAATCAGTCATCCTGATAAACAGTTTTGCAGCGAAATATCAGGTGTATCTTAAAGCTTACTATCTAAAGGACAGGTATGCAGGAAAGCCAACAGGTGTTTTTTGCCAATTTTTTAATGATTTTTAAGTTTTGTTTTTTTTATATTGGTATTAGGGGATGAATTCGTGACAGAGGAAAATTACAAATCAGTTACAATGAGTGGTTCGACAGTTTTCTGTAGAAATAACACAAAACCTTTCTCATATTGCTATTTGTAAATTAAGTGAAATTGTTCTACATGGAAATCTGAGGACTACTGACTCTTAAAAATAAGTTGTCGTGCACAGAACCTAGCGATTTCCTGTTAAAAAGTAAACTGAGCCAGCAAACATTAGAAATATAACCATCTCCGGTCAATGAATGTTGCATGTCAGTTTTGCGACATCCGCATACACACCTAGAGTAAAAATCCTGTTAGGAATACTAAAAAAATATATTTATTGATAATAAAAGTAACAATTAAATAATAAATTAATTATACGAGAAGGTTCAGATCAAAAAAATTACGAAAAAAACAGACAGATTAGATAGATTTGTTAAGCAAGTGAAATATTAGTTTATTGATCACAGCGACGAAAATAATTCATCAAAAATTATATTTTAGTAGTTATCTGTTGATTCATTTTGCTGATTCAAATTAGCTGGAATTAGTGACATGCGTTGAAAGTTCTACTCGTTTTTTTCGTACCAAGTGGAAGCAGAATACTACTATCAATGTAACAGCCCATTATTGTTTCAGGGTTTAAATGTAAATTGAGCGTCAAAAGTGACTATGAGCAAAATATGCGAAAGAAAACGGCAAGAAGAAAAGTGGAATTTATAAAATTAGGTAGGGAAAAATAATAAAAGCATTGTTAGGTGATGTGTACAGATTAAAATATTGTATTCCACAGTAGTAGTTTCGATAGCAGTATGGATAAGCAAAATCTTCCACTCTTCTAACTAATCCACTTACCTCCACTTTTTGGTACTCCCCATTACATTCTCAAAGAAATAAAGAGTGAAGCGAAAATAAGAAGAAATAGAGCCAAAAAAGTCTTGAGTTTTTTTTTTATGCCAGCCAAATTCTATCAAAAAGTTATTTCTGTTTTTTAGCTTCATATATAATTAAAAATTTCCTAATTATACAAAAATGAATTAATTGATCAAGGAAGAATTGTTTCCAACTAATTTTTTGTTTGAAAGATTCTGTATAATTTCAACTAAGTAATTTTCCAATAACGTCTTTTGCAGTTCCCCACCACTTTCAATGTTTTCGCTCAACTGTTTTTTCTCACCTTTCTTTTTTTTCGTTTGGGAAAAGTCCCTATCAGCGTTACGGACCTTAAAGAAACTTTCTGTGACTTTTAAAACTTTACTGAGCACCTGTTTTTAAATCAAGCCTGCTACGGTGTTCCTTATAGTGTCATTCACTACACACTCTGAGTACGTTTAGCAATAAACGAATGCATCTCTTTGCTTAATGAACAAAATTCCATGCTTTCTTTTAACCGTCACTAAGAGTCCTTGTTTTGAAACAGTTGAAAATACCGCTGTACTATTGAAATCTGCTTGGAAAGCGCCTCCACGGTGCATCAGTTTAATAGAAGAGTGCAGTATTCCAAATTTCTTTTTAAACTGCGATTCTCTTCAAGATTGTAACGGGGAAATACCCTAATAAAAATGCATTAAGCGATGATTACTCTCCCTATTACGCAGTAAACAATAGCCCAGCACTTTTAATTTCCTCAAAGTCACCATTGTCAATATATTATACTGCAAAAGTGCTTGATTTTCAACAATATTTTTTTTAATTAAAGGTGACTATAATTCCAGCATGGTAAAGACTTTTAAAATACCTGCCACTTTTCACAGGGAACCCCACATATTCAGTTGAGTAGAGAGATAATAAGTGATTTCAGTGTATTAAAAGTGTACTTAAAATACAAGTACTTGAGCCACAGTGATAAATTCCCTTACAATTACAATTTAATTTTATCCATTGTACCTAAAGCACGGCATATATATATACTTGCGTTCGTCTCTAATCATCGCTTAATGCATTTTTGTGGGAAAAATGAGATTACGGTTATGCAGGCTTATACAACGCTAACTGAAATCCAAAGTAAGATGTGTTTACCTAGCCTGTATTAGAAGTTTTGCAATTTTGAAACGTCCTTGTTTGACTGCTAAATTTCAATGATGTATGAAACCTGGTCGAGATCTTTGTTGAAAGATGACAAAAGGGCTAATTTTGTCTATTGTCACTTTTATTATTTTACTTGCGAAAATAACTTTGCATTGCACAAAAACTGTACTTTCTTTTCTTTTTTTTTTAGGTCTTGCCAAGTATGTCCTTAAATATTTTCAAATTTTAATTGGCTTTGGGCCTTCCGGGTTCCGGAAATATATAAGTTACAAAGAGAGATAGACCGTTTTGAACGTAGTCAACTCGTTTTTCCAACTTACTCTTTAACGAAGTTTTAGTATCCCTAAAGACTGCGCTGTTATTATGTTCGCCACAGCTGAATTTTACCAATTTTTTAATGGTGTAGAGAAAGAACAAAGCAGAAAGGAATGGACCAGCCCCTAAATCAAATCCCAGCAGATAACTCAGCAGTGACATTAAAGCAACAAAATCCAGCATCAGTATGTCGCTTCAAACGTTGTGAAAAAAATGACGCCAAAAGAACCGTAGAACTCTTGGAAAAACCTAATTTAGAAATTCTTGATCGAACTTAAGCGAATATTTTTTCGATGGTCGTCGAAGGGGAGTACAAACTGTCATAACAATGACAGCTAAATTTGCAGTGTACCACAGGCAACAATTTAACAACTAACAATATTTCAAGAATGTGAAGTACACCAAGAATCAGAACGTAGTAAACGGAAAGTTCAATTATTTTCATCAGATGGTTCCTCTACGTGGTACTCCTCAATCAAGTCGTCGTCTACAGTTGTGACCGAAAGAATTAAAAAGAACGCAGCGAAAGCAGAAGCAAAGTGCCATAGATCGTGCCAGTCATAGAAGTCCAAAAAGACACAAGGAGTATTTAATGCCCTACTCTCCGCAGCAGTCTTCTAAAAATATCATAAGTAATGGGAATGTTTCCTTCCCACCACCTCCTAAATTAAAAAAGAAAATCAGACTTTAAAAGAAAATTGATGACAATAACAAAACTGTAAGAAGTAATTCATACTGTGATGTCTGCTTCTTTCTTAAGAAAACAAACAAAAGCAGCAGCCCAAAAGCATAGAGAAACCACCAGGCAGAAATACGGATAAAGATTTGCTGTTTCCCCATTTAAAGCCTAGAGATAATTTCAGTAAAAAAAAGAACTAGCGTAGGAAAGCCATCATTACTTTTTTAGGAAGATTCAATACCTTGTTGAACAAATAGTAGATAAAGCAAATAAACATATTCATCGCAACCAAGTATGGAGCAATTTGCAGAGTTGCTAGATGCGAACCAACATCAAGAAGACAGAATACGACATTTGCAGCAATAATGCAAAACAGCAAAAGCAACCTTAAAAAAACATTATGCAAAAGCTTCATTCAAAAAAAACACCTCACTTTTCTCCTTCTTCCCTCTTCCTGTTCAGCCTCACAAGATCATATATGAAAACCTTTCCCTGAATGCTATCCAAAACCCTGCTTGAAGAACAGGAATAAAACGGCACAAAAACCACCCTGTAACTTCATGTAAATTTTAATAATTTCCGTAAAAGTATAGCTCAACAAGTGTACGTCGCAAAACAGCAAACTTGCATTTAACTATTAAATCCACTACGCGATCAAATAAACCTTCCGCCTCTTTATCCTACAAAAGTCAAAAGTTATATCATAATCGCATTGTCCTCATCAGTCACTAAAGTTAAAATTAAACCCAACTTTTTACCAGCACCCTTCCCAAGCCTGCCGCCTTCCATCAACTTTAAACGATGAAACGAAGATCTGTTCGAGTAATGCCTTCCTGCCGTAGCTATAAAAACAAAATTTATACTCGACGAATATTTAATAAGCAGATAACCATAAAGAAAAATGTTTTACTCTGGACACTTTCTTCGCCGTCAGAAACTTTCAGTATAATAAAAATAACCAGCGAGAGCTGAGATATCAGCAAAGCGAAAAGCGAATGTGATAACCACTGAAACAAGGTACTACATTCTAGCAGTTCCTACAAAACTGCTTTCGACTAGTGTACTTCTCTAATAACTGTTGTATTAAGAACTAAAGTAGGAAAAAATTCTTCAGTTTAAAATCTCTTAAGAAAGTATAAAAATTACCACGCTTTACAATTTTTCCGAATTAAAAATATTATTCTAAAATACTCTTGAAAACCTTCTTTCAACTAACTTTGCTCCCAAATGAGTACAAGAGAATGAACTTACATCAACTACACAATGGTAAATCATGACGAGCGAGACCACTGATATAAATGAGATATTTGAGACTGATTTTCTTCGAGACCTATACAGGTGAACCAATATCAGAACACACAACAGCTCAATGAAAGGAGTGTCTGAAAAGTTTTGTGTTGAGACAAAATGAAAACATATGACTGCTAGTAAAAAACTTTCCAAACTTGATGTGTTCTATCTATACCTGACTTTGTTTTAGTAAATCTTTCTGTTTAGAGATAATAAAATGAAAGTTTCCTGAATAGCTCCACTTCGCTATCCATAAGAGCGATACAGAACCATCACCATAAAGAGGGTAGGACCAATTTTAAAATCATTTAAATTTTTTTTTAAATCACTTTTTGGCCTATAGAAAAATTAACGACCAACCCAAATATAGCGTTGTTGCATTCGGACACAAATGGTAGAATGAACTGCCCACCGACTCAGCAATCAGACAAAACCCAATTCCATAAAAAAATCTGTAAGAATCCTCACCAGCAGCAAACATTCGCTTCAACTGTCTGAATTATCCCACAATCAGGATTTTTGATTTTAGGCTCAAAAAATGCAACTTTTGGAATACAAAGTTATTTCTGCTTTGAAGAACTTCAAAACAATTATGGCTACAAAGACTGACCTATGCCGAACAAATCTAATATAACAAAACCCCAAAATAAAATATCCAAAGTTACTAATGAGATGGTTATAAGCTTCAATAAGACCAATCCGACGAGTACACTCAAAATTCTGGAAGCACGATTCTTCTCCAAAGGACAAAAGACCAATTTTCTAAATGCATCCAAGATCAATACCTCCACTGCGCAGTGAATTAAACTAGAAAACAGACGGTAGCGGTAGCAAATATTACCTGACACTTACAAATATTACTTTAGTTTTAATCTCCAAAGCTGCGAGAAAAAAAATTTTAAATCAAAAAATACCAAATTAGAGAACGTACAGCTACAGCTGTATAAACAGATAGGAGTCCAAAAGCCATAAAAGGTGAAAGGAGGAGTGGCTTTTGAAGCAAGTTTGCAATCTAAATTAATAAGGAAATACATACCAGAAATGACTCTGTATGGTTAAAGAATTAATTTGAGCACACTAAGAGACCCTATGAATCGTAACACTCATGCCTACAACAAGACATCTACCAAATCTTAAAAGAAAAATATAGACTCTAGATGTTAATTTTTTTTCAGAACGTTCGAAATACCAAGAAAATGTATTATGCTGTTAAACTCAGTTACACGGGGAAAAGGTCCAAAGGCCCGGCGATTACTGGACAAAACAGGATAATGGTGCGCTAACTCATCCACTTCTGTTGAACGCTGCCCACCATTCACGGTACCGTTTCCAAACGAAGTATCGTCATTTAAAGCGACTAGGGGAGAAACATGTGAGTTCGATGAAGTCGGCAAATCTGACTGCAACGGAATCTCTTCCAAATGATCTCCAAACGAACATGGCTGTGTTTCTGTGTGAGGATGAACATTTACAGACAGCGTTTTCATGAAAATAAATGACAAGCAACCAACTAAAATTGTAACAACAAGAGCTTGAATAGTCAACGGGTGACATCAAACAGGCAACCCTCAATAAGACCCAAAAATAGCATTTTGGCGACTTCTATCAAAGCGCCAACGGGAATACCCATTAAGCAAAAAAAAATAATAAGCATAAATAAAAAAAACCAACCACCAGCGTTATTTAGTTCGAAACCTGGAGAAGGACCATCTATCGAAATAAGGTCGAAAGACTCTCTCTATATAAAAAAAAGCAATAAGAAAGCCACACAAGTCATGCACTACATCAAAAAAAATGTAGGCTCTGAATCACCACAGTTAAAAAAACTTATCATCCAAATCCATTTAAATGCCCAAGTTCAAACTAAAGCATCTTCACAAAATAGTAGTGCCAATTTGTACAAACAGCCCATAAAAGGCTTGCATCGGTAGGAATGATGAGTAATTTTGAAATCTGTGCTGAGAAAGTCAAATTAGACAATGAAGCAAGGAAGACGGAAATCCGAACAAGAACTACAAAGTTAAATTTCAAATGCCAAATTATACACTGAAGAAAAGAAGAGCAAATTTATCAGAAAACCCAAGAAAGAAAATTCTGTTTTTACAGACTGACCTGCTGTACTTCACCGTCCTCAAACCTTACACTCATCAAGTCATTGCCTCTCTGACCGGACTCGTAAAACCTTAAAAGTCATCAAAACTATTTTAAAAAGGCGGTTCCCAATATTTTTGCAAAGAAAATGTGTTAGGTAGAGATGTCCAAACTTACTTTATACCAAAGATTTTATTTGGAAGAACTGTGGAAGTGATGCCTACGATAAAGAAAGTGACAAATACAATAATGGTTGGAAAAGTGGCTGAATCATCTGGCGGAATAAACAATAACATAGAAAATCTTTTTTTTTCCACATTAATTCCTGAAAACCTTTTAGCACTTACAACCTTGACTGCTTCAAAGAAGCAACCAAAAAATGCATTGCGACTTGGTAGTAAATTAATATATTTGTGATTAAAAAATAAGTGCTTCTGACTGTCAAGAAATAAATTTTTGCCACATAACACCAAAGGCTAATTGCCAGAACCAGTAAACAAAGCCTTCAAAACAAACTGAAAATTAAAAAATTTCACACTTTAAAAAAGATTAAGTCTAAAACCTAGCTCCAACTGAACTGCAGAAAATCCCTTCTAATAAAAATGAAATCTGAAGTAAAGCGTCTAAACCTGACGTGCCACAAGCTCAGCAACAAATTCCGAAGTAAACGCCTTGATATGCTACAAGTATTCGGAAAGTCAAAAATTTTTATTGGTCATTTAAACAAGTTAAATAAGTTTTTAAAATCAGAAATTCAAAAAACAAATGCGGACCTTCAGTTGTCTAAAGCACTAACTAAATCAATAAAAACAACCTCAATTCTGTAAAAATTCATGTTAGTTGCTTTTTTCACAAAATTCGATAACTAGCAGAGAATGTTGATCAACAAGAACAAAAGCAATACGATTTTTTTAAAGTTCATTTGAAACACTTGATCACCAGTTTAAAGATTGGGAGCAAACAATCATATATATTGCAGAAGATGAAACTTTAACAATTTCAGAACTACTTTCCTTTCCGCAATGGAATATAGAGTGTCACTTTGAATCTTTTCTTTGCGTTTTGAGGACCTAAAAGTATTCTACCAGGTCATTATGTTATTAAACGCTTTTCATGAAAAAAAAAGGTTTCGGAACCTTGAATTGCCAAAAAAAAAAAAGTGCATACTGCTTTCCTGCGCAAAGCACAATACAACTGAAGTATTAGGCAAATAAAATCCGACCACAGGAATCTTCTTAAAAAGTAGAAATCCCGGAGTAAAAACAGGTAAAAAACAACTGTTTAGAAAAAGCAAAAAAAAAATGCCCTCCTTTCAAATAAAAATGTGTCCTCGCCTTTGTGTGCATTACAAAAAAACGAAAAACTGCTCAATAGCAAATGTACTACATCAAAACTAAGCAGTGTAGGTGTAACTTGAAAGTATCGTCTCTTCATCTTCCGTAACTTACAACTCATGCACAAAAATCCATAAAGACGGAGCCAAACTAAAACCTCTGTCACATAAAAATTAGTTACTTTCTGCGGCTCATGTAAAAGATTTGGAATTTTGGTACTTTACTAGATGATATAAGAAACTTGGAAGAAAAATCGACTTATTACCTGTAAAATTATGACTGTACCTTTTCGCCTACAGAGAAAGATGAACAAACTGCTCTCACATCTCGTACTGCGAACGCTCGTCACTGCGACCGTGACTAACCTACTATTGAAAACGGTAACCCATTTTCAACAACTAGTAAATTCTTACCAACTGCTTTTGTCGTTTGCAAGACAGCATCTATCAATTCCAGTTCTAATATTGAAAAACCTAGTCCTTGACTTTAATGTGAGCAAACTAGAGCTTCTACATCTTTAATAACTCAACCGTCCTAGACGACAGCTTCTTGTACTTCAGGCGACATTAATAAATCTCTCGAGAAATAAAACCAGGATAAAGGAGTTCCCATACGAGCGTGTGAGATTCTAACAATTTGATCGTGCTGCCATCTTCAGCGCAATTTTGAATATTACTTCTAATCAAAAAAGCATTACCTTATTTAACAATACAAAATACCCTCAAAAACATTCTCTCTTCATTTGTAACTGCTCCTCTTTTTCGCTCATACGAGTTTTTTATACCAGTTATTTCTGTTCATCTTATTCCTAGAAAAACCCATCTAACCCTTTATTTCCCCAGTATCCTGTTCCCGGCAACATGATCACGCTTTCTGCTCCATTACTACAATGCAAAATGCTACATCCAACCGTTGCGAGCTATTTTTCTTAAAAATAGCATCTATAATTCAGGTAACTTAAGTCTATCTTGTGGCTTTCAGCAACTCACTTTTATGTGGCAACTTTCAAAATGTGCACAGCAAACAAAACTGAACATTATATTATCTTCCAAATGCCTTTAAATGCCTTCTACTAAATAATGCGGAGAGGAGAAACAAAGCAACCAGTTCTGAAATCTTCCCAATTTGAATTCGGAGTATCGTAATGTCACAAATTAGGTTTGGCAAGAAAAAAAGAACGCAAACCTTTCTGATACATTACATGTCTTCCAGGCCCCCTGTAGACAACTCTTCAAATCATTATTGTGACAAATTCACTGTTTGCAAAATACAAAGCTATGATTACCTGCATAATTTTAAAGCAACTAGATATGAAAATCAAGAGTAATGAATTTGAGATTTGAAAGCAAGAAAAATTGAAACCTTTTTGGAACTTCGAATTTGCAAATTACATCCGATTTAACTCGTAATGCAGGTATTGGAAAGGGGAAAAGAACAACAATTAATGAGGGGAAATCATTAACAACTTTAATGCTAAGAAAGCTACTAAAAACAAATAAAATTTGTTTAAGCTTGAAAAGTAAATGAAAGACATATGCTTAAAAACTGCTTGTGCTTTTGCACATTGGAGCAAAACTAGAGCAAAAATCGCAAAAGGCCCATTTCATAGCAGGAAGAGTAATGCGTAAAATCTTCTGAACTAACTGGTCACTGCAAAACTTACGAGGCTTCGAAGCACCACCGCAACGAGTATCCTCTTGAAAAGCAAAGAAAACTATGCTGAAATTCTGGGCGAAATAATGAGACGGGATTGAAAAGTCAAGTTTTTTTGTAAAAGAACGATGGAAGGACGAACGTACAGCTTCCGCAGGACTTTGCACCAACGAACTCTAAAGCTAACTGAATCAGAATACCTTATAGGCAATAAAAATACCTAATAAAAGACAATTTCTTGGTAAACGTAATACATACCGTCATTTTCTGGATTGCTAAAACTGCACAAATCTCATCATCACTAACAATTGTTGCTGCAAGCCGTGATACTTGTTTGGAGTCGACAGATACTCTGTAAGCAATTCCATTCACTGCAGAACATTTCTGCACTCGTGTATATTCTGAAACCACGCCTCCAGATTTTGTTTTTGATGGAATTCTAAAACTTTCACATACACCTACAGTTCGCAATAGTAACACAAAGAAACACTTTAAAAAGAAATAAATGTGACCAAGCATCACCCTATAAAGAAAAATTAGAATAATACCAGTACAATGTGATTATAGAAATAATTGGTACTAAAGCCACACCGAATATAGTGTTGTCCACGATCGAATAATTTGACGGATAAAGTATAGTTCAGATTTAAATCCGCTGATGATTTTAAGCTGATAATTAAGTCGCCTTTCAACGGTTCGGTTACCGACCCCAACATCAGAGTCTTTTCAAAAAATCCTTCCCTTTAAATTACTTTCAATCAAATACCATGCCTAATAAGACGTAAAGCTAGTAAAGCTGTTGCGTTGTTAAATTCAAGATACTTCCTCTCTTCTTTGTACTCCAAATTCCAAGCTATACAAAGAATTTGCAAAAAAAA